TGCCATGGGCAGGGACACCTCACACTAAACCATGTCACCCAAGGCTCTGTCCAACCTGGCCTTGAACACCACCAGGGATGGAGCATTCACAGCTTCCCTTTGCAGCCCATTCTGGTGCCTCACCACCCTAACAGGAAAGAACTTCTTCCTTATATCCAATCTAAATTTCCCCTGTTTAAGTTTTAATCCGTTACCCCTTGTCCTATCACTACAGTCCCTAATGAAGAGTCCCTCCCCAGCATCCCTATAGGCCCCCCTTCAGATACTGGAAGGCTGCTATGAGGTCTCCACACAGCCTTCTCTTCTCCAGGCTGAACAGCCCCAACTTTCTCAGCCTAAAATAATAAAAATAGCAGAAACATCACAGAAAACTTATCAAGTATCTTTAACTGTGTTTCTGAATTTGGAGGACTTAAGGGGAATGCATAGTTTCACTTGTTTTGGAAGAATTCAGTGGATCTGTTCCTGGAGCTTGACAGTATCAAGTTCCTGACACTGTCAGTAACTGGACAGTACCAGGTTAAAATAAGGAGCAAGGATGATCCTAACTCCCGTTTCATTAGATCACCATCCTCATATTAGGAAGAACTTCAGGTATCTAAACTAAATCTCCCCTCTGACAGTTTAAAGCCATCCCCCCCCCCCGTCCTATCCCAACAGGCCCTTGCAAAAAGTCCCTCTCCAGCTTTCTTGTTGGCCCTTTTAGGTACTGGAAGCTGCTCTAAGATCTCCCAGAAACCTTCCCTTCTCCAGGCTGAACAACCATATTTCTTCTTAATACAATTATCAATAAATTCTGTTTCCCTTGCTCTCCCCACCCATTTGATCAGCCATAAAGCAAGCTCTCTAGGCTTCACTCCATGGCTACACCTCCATGGAACATAATTTGAGCTCACAGAGCAACAGAGCGTGCTGAGATATCTGTAGGCAGATATCTTAATTTCAGGTCTGAAAACAGTGCTAAATACCCCCCACATTACAGCTATTTAATCAAGAAGAAAATTGCCAGCAGCCTTTAAATACCTAATATGGTACTAAAAAGGAGAATTATAAATTGTATTAATTCACTATGTTGCTCAAGCAGACCTTGCAGCCTGCCCTGAGTTCCACCTCACTCCAGAAAGACTGTTGTCGGTGCTGGTGCAGTTTAAGCACACCTTGTGCATTTCTCCTTAGAAGGCATTCTGCCTGTGAAGAAATAAGCTTCACCACTCATGATTACAGCTGCTCAGTCTGTACATCACTGAAATTATTAAAGGACCTCCTACAGGCCAAAGGATCATGTCTACAACAGAAAGTCAAACTAATTTTCCAAACAAGCAATCAATATTATTTGCTTTTATTTACATATCCTAACTGAGGTTTTAGAAAAGCTCTCCCACTTTCCTCTGCTACAAGGCAACAGAAGTTTACTGGAACAGGCACAGGAAAAAAAGCTTAACTACATGAAAACTTAATGTTAATATAAATACAGGATTTTTTTTTTGTGAGCTTAGTATTATTAAAAACAGTTTACAGCTTCCAAATAGACAATGAAGTGTAAATAAATACACTGGTGAGTTCTACTACCAGCTAAACGTTTAGGTGAGATGGTGCATGTACTGCTGATCCATATCATGTGTGTCTCCAGCTTTGACACTGCTTGTCTGCTAATACAAGAGTATTCTCCTTTTTTCTTTTTCATTAGAAAAGCTGTAAACAGTAACTTTAAAAAAAAAAAAATGGAATATACATTTAAGTAGCAAGATAGTGTATCAGAGAGATGAAAAGAGTTGTTTCTCTCTAAACAAGCAATAAAGAATAATGTGAAAAATGGACTTTTCCCCCGAGGGAGCAAGAGGGAGAATCAGAAAGTAGCCCAGCAAAGGAGCTGGGCTCAGCCTTCCTAGCACAAAATGAGTGAGCTCACTCATTTTCCCTTTTTGCTGTTCCTACTGAGGGCATAGAAAGCCAAGCTCCTTCATGCTGCTTCGTTTACATCCATGCCAGTTGTGGCAGGTCAGAGACGACTGTTTAACTCGCTGCGTGGAATCTGTCGGACGGACCCCAGGCAGAGAGGTCTGGGGACCCTCCCCCGAGCCACCTCCACACGGTTTCTAGCACGGGCACGGCATCGATTCCCCGCCGGCGTCCCGGGCCCTCACACCCACCTTGCTGAGGCAGACGTCCACGGCGGGCTCCCGGAGGCGCACGGTGGCCTTGCCCTCCTCCACAAACCGGGTGAAGAACCGCTCGATGTTCTCCTGCAACTACGAGGCACAGCGGGCGTTCAGCAGCCGCGGCAGGACGAGGGTCGAGAGGGCCCGCCCCGCCCTCCTGTCCAGTCCCCCCACAGCCGCAGTTCTCACCTTGTAGCGAGCACCGACCCGGTCCCGCGCCGTGCACACCATGAGGTAAACGCCGCCGCCCTGCGCCCGTCCGGGCGGGCGGCCGAGCGAGAGGAGCGCCCTGGTGCCGCGGCCACGACCCCGCAGCCCGCAGGTGGGCAGGAGCCGGCTGACCACCTCCACCTCGCACTGCAGCCGCATCACCGCCCGCCCCGCCGCCGACCAACAGCCCGCTCAGGGGCGGGCGGGCCGCGCCGCGCCACTCGGGGGCCTTCAGCACTGCCGCGCACAGGCGCCCGCCGCAATGCCTGGCTCCCGTGATCCCGCCCTCTCTCCGCCGCCAGCCAGGGGCCGCAGGGCCGCCCGGCGGAAGAGCTCGCGGGGCGGGAAGGGAAGAGCGGGCGGTGTTACCGGCGGTACGGGCAGCCCGAGTAGCCCGAGTGAGGGGCCCTCAACGAGGAGCTCTGTGGCAGCGCCCCCTGGAGGAGGTCGGCTCGACACGGCGGGAAGGGTCGAGGAACGGCGGGTGTGAGGGGAACGTGGGGGAGTTGAGGGGACTGCGAGGGTGAGGGGACACGGGGGAGCTCCAGCGCCACACAGCTAAATCTTTTGGGCAATTTCTACAGTTGTATGGAATGGAGGCATACAAGTTTTACAAGGAATCCTTCTGTGTTTGTTAGTGAAGGTACTGGCTCTCCCAATGCTCCCTCTGACGTTCTGCCTGGTACAGTGTCAGCAGAAATGGCCACCAGCGATAAAGCATCTCCTCTGGACCCCTGTCCCCAGCATGGCTGGGCTGGAGTGGCTGAAGGGGGCTTTGCTGCTAGAATTGGCTTAGGTAGCACCACTAGGAATGAGTTGTGGGCATTCAGAAACCAAGCTTGGGTAAAAAGCCATGTTCACCCACTGCAAGGTACTGTTGCCGTGTGTTTGACTGAGATGCCAGTGACACGCTGTGAGGCCCTATGAAAAACTAATTGCCAAAATAACAGGGAAAAATTCAATAAAAAAAAATTGACAAAAGAATTCGCAATGTGAAAGTGGTGTGGTAGAGGGAAGGTTGGGAGTGTCCTGTTATAAAGCAGCCTTCCAGTACCTAAAGGGGCTGAAAGGAAAAGCTGGAGAGGGGCTTTTGACAAGGGCATGTAGGAAGGGAGCAAGGGGGAATGGCTTTAAACTGACAGAGGTAAATTTAGATCAGGTATTAGTAAGAAACTCTTCCCTTTGAGAGTGATAAGGCACTGACATGGGTTGCTCAAGAAGCTGTGGCTGCCCCATCCCTGGCAGTGTTCAAGGCCAGGTTGGATGGGGCTTGGAGCAACCTGGTCTAGTGAAATGTGTCCCTGCCTGTGGCAGGAGAGTTGTAATGAGACTAGATGGCCTCTAAGGTCCTTTCCAACCCAGGCCATTCTGTGATGCTATAATCTCTGACAGTGAAATGGCAGCACATGGGAAAAATTGCTCTGGGATGGGGTATAGTAGAAACTGGGACAATACCGCTGAATTTGAGAGAACTCCTGGCTCGAAGGCACCAGGTGGAAACTAACCTGCATGCATGGGGCAGGCTGTTTGCTACAGGGTGGCAGCAGGCAAGGACAAGGTGAGTGAGAACAGCAGCAGTGTGGTCTCACCTGGTCCCCTGCCCAACAGCGTCAGTTCTCACTGCGGTAGCCAGCATTGGGGAAACAAAATAAAATCCATAAATCCTTTCAGTACTGGTTTCCTACAGTTATTTTGTTTAAGGACAAGGCTTAAGGTTTTAAACTTTCTTTGTCCTTTTTAGGAACTATTTTTACTGGCATCAGAGCGCACAAACACAGAACGCCGCTGTGCTGGGCCGCCAGCAGGGGGCGGTGCGCGCAGATGCCGTGGTGTTCCAGCAGGAGGCGATAACGTGTCAGGTCCTCTAGTGTTGAAAAGGTGATACCGCGGTGCTGCAGCAGGAGGTGGTGTGTGTCGGGTCCTTGTGTGCCGGCGCTGCAGCAGGAGGCGGTGTGTGGCGGGTCTGTGTGCCATGTCAGGGGCTAAAGGCGGTACCGCGGTGCTCCGGTAGGAGGCGGTGTGTGCTGGGTCCCGTGGTGTTGGAAAGGCGGTGTGCCGGCGTGCCAGTACGGGGTGGTGTGTGTCGGATTTTTGCGTGCTTGTGCTGCAGCAGGAGGCGGTGTGTGTCGGGTCCGTGTGTGTCGGGTCCGTGTGTGCCGGCGCGCCAGCAGGAGGCGGTGTGTGTCGGGTCCTTGCGTGCCGTCGGGGGCAAAATGCGGTTCGTCGCCGGTTCCTGAGGAGGCGGTGCGTGTGTCAAAAGGAACCCGCGTCTCTCTGTGTTGCCCAGGCTACGCTGCAGTGGCTATTCACAGGCGCGATCCCGCTACTGACCGGCACGGGAGCTTTGACCTGCTCCGTCTCCGACCTGGGCCGGTTCACCCCTCCTTAGTCAACCTGGTGTGCCCCAGCTCCCCGGGGCTCACCATATTGATGCCGGCCTTAGCGCGGACGCCCGCTCGGCATAGCGCACTGCAGCCCAGAACTCCTGGGCTCAAGCGATCCGGCGGGCTCAGCCTCCCGAGTAGCTGGGACTACAGGCGCGCGCCACCACGCCCGGCGCTTCTCAGAGCCGCGCTGCCTCCCCTAGACCCGCCACAGAGTGACGTCAGGCACGGAGGGCGGGGAAGCGGGCGTGCCGCGGTGCAGGGCGGGACTCCGGGCAGGGGTGGTCAGCGTGTGCGAGGGCCGCCATCTTTCTTTCCACGGAAGGAGCACGGCAGCAGTATGGGGCACCAGCAGCTCTACTGGAGCCACCCCAGGAAGTTCGGTCAGGGCTCCCGCTCCTGGTCAGTATGCACCCCGGAGGCTCTCCAGGGGGCTGTTGGGCCTCCTGGGGCCTTATAGGCCTCCTGTGGTAGTTCTCTCACTCTATCTCTCCTTTCCTTCTTACTGCTCGCCGCCATTACGCCCCCCGACCGGCCTTGCTCTCTTGTCCCCTCATAGCCGCGTGTGCTCCAACCGCCACGGCCTCATTCGCAAGTACGGGCTGAATATGTGCCGGCAGTGCTTCCGCCAGTACGCCAAGGACATCGGGTTTATCAAGGTAAGCGCGGGCAGCGAGGGCACCTCTCCTGTGAGGAATGTCTGAGAGAGGTGGAGTGGTTAAGCCTGGAGAAGGCTCCAGGGAGACCTTAGAGCAGCCTTTTAGTTCTTAAAAAGGGCCTGTAAGAAACACGAGGCACTTTTTAGCAGGGCCTGTTGTGATAGGGCAAGAGTAATGGTTTTAGACTAAAAGAGGAGAGATTCAGGCTGGGTGTGAGGAAGAAATCTTTTACAAAGAGGGTGTTGAAATACTGGCACCGGTTTCCCAGAGAGGTCGTGGCCATGCCATCAAGGCCAAGCTGTATATTTTTTGTGGACAAGCTGATCTAGCTGAAGGTATCCCTGATAACTGCAGGGGGCTTGGGCTGCATGAGTTTATGTCATGGTTTAGATTAGACCCAGTCAGTAACTCAGCAAGACGTAGCTGCTTGCACACATCTCCCCCCAGTTCAGGCAGAATGGGGAGGAGAATTGAAAGAATGTAAACCCCTTGGGTTGAGGTAAGAACAATTTAATAACTAAAAATGTGGTAATAGGAGATGCTAATAATAGTAGGAAATGAGAAAAAATGAAAATTCAGAAAATGCAAGTGATACATCGTACAACTGCTTAGCATCTGCTGACTGACTTGAGCAGCGATCGGTCCCTTCTGGGTAACTCCCTCTCGTTTATATACTGGGAATGACCTGCTGTGGTATGGAATGCCCCTTTGGCTGGTTTGGGTCTGGTTTAAAATCACTGTGATAGCTGAAATCAGGACACTTTTGAAGGTCCCTTCCAACCCAGACTGTTCTATGATTGAGCAGGAAGGTTGTGTGTACTCTCTTCCACTGACTCATCTTGCCTTTCTCACTGTCTTGCAGCTGGACTGAGCACCAGGAGGATGAAGCTGTGACCAGAAGCTCCCAGGGCTTCCCTGGGCCTCCCTGACACATCTGCAGCATCTTGGCACAGCTCTAATCAATAAATAGTCTTTCCACCTGACTGATGCATGTATGCCTTTGTAAAGGTTCTGATGGCTATGGGGCTTCTAATCCCTTACAGTGGCCCTTTGGGGGGGGGGGGGGTTGGTGCTGCCGTGGGGACAGGTCTAAAGGAGCCTGCCATGCTGTCCTCAGTTACCTACACAAACCTGGGTGGTCTTAAGAGTGCTGATGCTCATGTGATGCCCCTGAGTCTTCAGGCTTGTGAGCAGTGCAGTAGAATGTTCCTGTTAAAATGGTAGGCATGAATGGCTTATGTAGAAACAGGTGTTGCAGCATGTTTGTTGTGCAGAGCTCAAGCTCTATACGCAAGCCTGCTTTGCTTGTTGAGAGGTTTATTGCTTCAGTGTGTTGGGAAAGTTAAAATTGATATCAGGTATGGGGGATTAATGTGGTTGGAGCCACATCTCCCTTCCATTTCAGATGGAAAGAGGACCTCATTTCCTGAGGTCTCCAGCCACTTAAAAGTTGTGGTGTAATAGGTCTGAAGAGAGTTGGGTTTAAAAAAAAACACCAGTGTGCCAGAAGCCTGGAGTTGGGCTTTCCTTTTCTGTCCACGGGGATTAGAAGTGTCAGGGTGCTGTCCTGCTGCTGAGGCTTGTCACTGTGTGAGATCACTGACTAGATGAATATTCCAGTGATTTCTGGAATGGCAAATGGGCTGGTCCCTTCCACCCTGTGTGCTCTGGATCTCATTTGGGAATTCCTAATTGCTTTTTTTTGTCTCAGTGGTTACTGAGTTAAACTGAACAATGGTGGTGAGGAGGTAATAGGGGGAAACTCAGGTACTGGCCCAGAGGCTGGAGAATTTATTCTGAGGTGGTAAAGTCTTCCTCATGATGCAGAGAGCACCGTCCCCTCGTCCTTGTTGAGCACCCAGATGAACTGAAGTGTGTGGATCCTGTTGTTTCTGTGGTAAATTAGTTCGTGTTGGCATGAGCTCACCACTGAGCTAGCAGGAAGGCAGGCAGGCCTCACACCACAGCTTTGGGCCTTCAGTGAGCTGTAGTGTCAAACTTCCTGTGAGGAACCTTGGCACATGCAGCTGCCTGGTTATGTAGGAGTGGGGTCAGGAAGGCTAGGGCACAGCTGAAGCTGAACTTTGGAAAGGATGCAAAGAATAATAAGGGCTTCTGCAAGTGTGTCAGCCAGAAACAGTTTTTTTAGTTTAAAAGAGGGTTGATTAAGGCTAGATGTAAGGGAGAAATATTTTACCATGAGGGTGGTGAACAACTTGACACAGGTTGCCCAGAGAGGTGATCCATGCTTCATCCCTGGAAATATTCAAGGTCAGACTGGACAGAGCTCTGAGCAACCTGATCTCATTGATGCTGGGATGCTGGGCAGGGGGCTTGGTCTAGATGACCTTTAAAGTCTCTTCCAACCCGAACTATTCTGTGATCTGTGTGTTGTTTTTATCCTAAGAGCTGCTACCATGGCTTCATTGCAATTGCAAACTCACAGCCAACTACAGGGAAGGAACAGGAAGTCCTGGGACACTAAATATGATCAATTCATAGTTCAAGCCCGATACAAAGATTCAGAGATAGCTATGGTGATGTCTTGCTCAGAGGATTTCCATCTTCCCATTGCCTTGGGCAAATTCTGCAAGAGTTTCTACATTCTAGCAATGCACCAGTTCTCACAAAGCCATGCAGACTGTTGTGGTGTGCCTGTGGTAGTCTGGGAGGATGACAGTAAGCAAGCAGTTCCTCTTGGAACCAAAGGCAGCCCGGGGTAGCTCAAAGGGATGCAGATCTGGGGTTGCCAGAGGAGCTCTGGCTGGTGCTAACACAGGTTTGGTACTGGCCTGGGAAAGAGTCAGCTTTGCTGCTGCTGGAGGATGTTGTTGGGCTTCTCACTCTTTGAATAAGAAATGGTTAAATCTCTGGTTCCTATCTGGAAACTCCTCAGTGTAAAGGTAAGCTTCTACACTAAATAAATACTACTAAAAAGATTCAGTTCCTCTAGCAATTGTTTTTAGTTCTTTTCTCCAGTTTCCACTGATGTACACAGAGAGGTGAATTCTCGGGGTGTGTTTGGCTTCAGCGTGGTTCTGAGTGACTTTCACTGAGGAAGCATAAGTCTTTTGTTATTAAGTATTATCTGAAATTATGCTACAGTCAGAAAGATCTGTTAGTTTTGCTGCTGGTTGCTCCTGATCCCCGGCAGAGAATGCAGAGCTGTGATGAAAAGCTGGTCTCAGCAGCTGATGTGAATGGCCATGAATGCTGCTGGGAGGCCGCAGAGGTAGAGGAGCTGGTGGCACTCGGTTAAACTGTTGTGTGGGCACAGCATACTGACACCAGGGAGAAACCAGATGAGTTGCACCAAGGGTTAGTGTTAAAGATGGTTTCCAACATCTGAAACTGGTAAGGAGTCATGCTTCCTCTTACTGTGAAAGATGCTTCTCATTTTTACTCACACTCTTCAGATACCTTGTGATAACTGACTGTAGTGTAAAATTTCACTGAAATGCAGAATCAGCAAAGATGTAAAATGGGAGGGGAGGTTCTTTGCAGTTCTGTCCTGAGTTCAGCAGTAGCAGTCATTTTTTCTCCTCCTTAGTAGCTGGTGCAGTGCTGTGTTTTTTACTTTCAGCCTGGGAATAGAGCTGATAACACCGATGTTTTTAGTTGCTGCTCAGTAATGCTTACTCTGACCAAGGACTTTGTGAGTCTCATGCTCTGCCAGGGAGGAGGGGAAGTCGGGAGGAAGCAGAGACAGGACACCTGACCCAAGCTAGCCAAAGAGGTATTCCATACCACAGCACGTCATGCCCAGGATGTAACTGAGAGTTACCTGGAAGGGTGAGATCACTGTGGGGTTGGACTAGGTATTGGTCGGTGCTCAGTTGTACTGGGTATTATCAGTCGGCAGGTGGTATTGTATTCTCTTCCCTTGTTATTTCCTTTATTATTATTGGTGGTAGCAGTAGTGATTTGTGTTATACCTTAGTTACTGGACTGTTCTTATCTCAGGCCGTGGGAGTTACAGTCTTTCGATTCTCCTCCCTATCCCTCCGGGAGTGGGGGGAAGAAAAGGAGGGGGAGTGAGAGGGAGACTGCGTGGCTGATTAATGGCCGACTGGGTTTAAACCACAACAAGCTCCCACTGCTGGAGTCTGCACAGAGCTGTGTTCAACTTGGCCTCCTACTACCCACAGCTGTGCTTGTGGCACTTCCTAATAGGAAATGTCTGTGTTCCTGTCACCACTCATGTCTTGGTGACAGGAGGATGCCCCCATGCTGGATAGCAGCCTAAGATGTTGGAAATTAGCAGCAATGTTAGAATTATTTGGATACTTGGAGCTACAAGACGCATTCAAGTCTGGTAGTGAGCTGTGGATATCTGTCCCCCTTTCTGGAGCAAAGCTGCTTTCTGATGGTAAAATGGCTTTGGAGGCACCTTCTTTCTCGGCCCTATGTGCGTGTTGTTGTCTGGCAGGGAGCTGTGCTGCTCTAAAGTAGCTGAGGATCTGGTCCCGAGAGCTAAGAGCCAGAGCACCTGTGTTACCTACATGATGGGAAATAATAGTAACAATAAAAAAATCCCAAATAGTACCAAATAGCTGGGGATAGTAATTGAAATGCAGCTTTCTATTTGAAAGAAAAGCTAAAATATGTTTTTGAATTACCTTGTTCACATTAAAATATCTGAATTGTCACCTTGTAATTTTGCAAATGCTTTAAATGTTCTTGCTTTTGTTTATTCTATTGCTCCCATCTTGTAAGTCTAGTGGGAAGGTGGTGTAGTACAAACTGTAATGTCTTTTTACCTTATTGCTGCCTTAACTTGGTATTTATTGCCCAGTATACAATGAAGACTAGGTGCCAAAACCTTGAATTTCCTGAGCTCATTGTTAAAATTGCATTTTATTTCTTTCTAAAGCTGACGGTTACAGTCTCTGAAGGTGCACAGATGTGAAGCTCTAACTTATTTGGAAGCAAAATGATTTGTAAAGAGCTGTTGATTCCCCTAAAGAACAGTTAAAATCAAAATACTCTTCAAGGACTTTGCATTAATGGTGAACAACTAATACATGTTTTCCTGTAGGGAAATAACATCGCCTACTTAGAGCCAAGTAAAAGATAGTGATGCCTTACCATTCAAAGAGATGAAACTGTAATTGCTGAAATAGAGTTTACAGGGGATTTTGACTGTTGAAAAAACACTAAATTGCATTGGATTATGCACCAGATAAAGTCTATGGTTCTCGGAGGCTCTAGGAGGAATTTGCAAGGCTATGGCTAAAACATTGGCTTTTAAACTCATCCTTAGGCTAGAGAAATGAAGCTGTTTGACATGCTCAGATAGGAAAAAATTGTAAGCTGTGGCTGCACAGGTGCTGTGAAAGCCTGTGACTTGTGATGACCCTCCCTCCTGCATACAGAGATGGTCTTTGACTCACTGAGATCTAGTTTATTGCAGTGGCGTAGCTTGTGGGACCAGGCTGGGGGTGATGCTCAGGCTGTTTTCCTACTTGCAGCATCTCAAGGTGAGTGCTAGGCCCAGCAAGGTGGATCCCCATCACCTGGATCAGGATCCAGGTCCTTGCCCTTCAGGCTGCTCCTCTGCCACGGGGTTCAGTTCTCAAGCTGTGAAATTGTGGTAACACTTTCTGCAACATGAGAAATGTTGAAGCAGGGACAGCAACTTGTGAATATTCCCAGTTTTGACATTACTAAATTCCTGCAAGGGGCAAGCTCCACCTGCTGCTGTTTGATGGCTGCTCCAACATGTATCAGCTGCAGGCAATGCTTGGAGCAGAGGACACTGAGCTTAAAGCTGTTTGTCACTCCATTCCCAAGATGAGAGAAAGGGACCTGGAGTGTTTGGCTGTGGTTGGTTTGAGCAGGCACAGAGTGGGAGCTGCTGCTCCAAACACAGCTTTGAGTGCCTCTGATTCTTGTTGTCTGCCAGATGTTAGTCAAGTGGCACAAGGCTCAATCAGGAGAGATGCAAGGGGTGTCTGGTCCAGGTGTGGGAGGCGGTCCAGCT